GTCCCTTATCACACTCTTCCTTCCCTGTTGCCCATGTAGCGCCTTTGGGTTGTGCTGGGTTAAGAGAGGAGTGAAAAAAGGAAAACTGACTGGGGAGTGATAAGGATAGGATGAAACAAATTCCTCAAACCCAGAGCAGATTTTGCATTATAAACCTATCAGCCTCCACTATAGCTGTCAAATCCTGCTCCAAAAGGAGCTATCCAGGGTGGAAAACTTTCACTGATACGGAGTGCTTACCATCTGCTTCTGCCACAAGCACCAAGTACAACAATGAGCTATCATACTACTGTGCTGACAAGATCATGAGCTTTTAGGAAGTTTAAAAGAGCACTTTGCCTACACCGACTACACTGTAAAGCTGCCTGCAATCTCTGAGTGCAGTCATCATCAAGTTTTGGAAACCTTCAAGGAATCCCCGCCCAAATCTTGCAATCCTGACCTCTGCCTATCCTAGCTTGTTAAAGACTAACTGGTGCCAACTCTGAATGCAATGGGCAATGCCTCATTCAGATAAACCATGTTTCTTTCCCCCTGCAGGCATGCAGTAGTATGACCCACAGTAACACAACTATAGATGCCAACAGCCACAGAGAAACTCGTTCAAGGCTAAGGCCATGCATTTCTAACTGAAGCCAATAACCTGAATCTGGACTATCTGGATTTAGGCCAGGACATGGAACTGAAACCATTTCTGTGGCACTGATAGTGAATTCCAATTCCAACCTGCTATAGGGCAGAACCGCATCCTCATTAACGCTTATCAAATTCTTGCAGAAAGGTCCATAAGATTTTGGTTTCTTGCCTAAAAGATATGGCAGGGGTCTGAGGTTACATACTAAAATGGGAGAGTCCCTTCAAGGAGGATTCAAATTACTGAGTGTATATATAGCTTTATGTATAAACTTCCACACAGACTGAACAGAAGAGATTTGTCTGAGGTATACCATCTCCTGAGGCCACCCCTGCCATGGTACAATGTAGCTCAACATGATGAACAGGGAACACCAAACCAGGTTTTGCAATATACTGCACACAGTATACCTTAAATAGGTTGGCACCATAAACCAATCACTTGCACAAGCAAAAATCTTTGAGTTTGTTCATAAACTGCAACTCAGCTTTGCCACTACTTCTGGGAATAAGAGTTAGCAACTCTGGACTAGGGCCGAAACTGGCAAAGAATGAAGGGTTGCCCCGATTCTGCAGTGATAAATAGCAGCATAAAACCTTATTTCAGATACAGCATCCCAGCTAAATAAATACACAGAAAAAAGCTTGCTATAGTTTTTCATTACAGGTCTTTCCTAAGGCCTATAGAAGGTTACAGGAAGTCTCTCATTGATTGGATCAGGTCCTCTTCTGTACCAAAGGGCTTAGCATGAGATTTACAATATAACTTTCCCAGAAGAACTGTGTGTTTGCCTGGCACTGCCTCCAGAAAATTTCAAAGGCTAAAAGAATGAAGCTCCAAATTGGGAGTGAAATCACCACTGTGACTGTGATGTAGACCAGAGCTATTTAGAGATCCGATTAACACAGCAACATTGTGAGCCATCAGCTGTATAACCGTGGTGAGTGAATCAGCAGGCTGTTAGTCTGGGGACCAGCTGTTAATTGAAAATGGGAAACAAAAACAAAACAAAAAAAAATGGATGGCTTAAAAAAAAATTGAACAGTTAAATAGTTTTCAATTGTCTGGCAAATCCTTTCCCTTTTAAACTAGCTTTTGCTCTCCCACATGTGGCCAAAATGCACCAGCAGCCTTCTCCCTCCTACATAACAGTTGGCAACAGTTGGGGCAATCCCAGTGTCCAGGCCCTTCCCAAGTGCAAGGATATGCAGGGTTAGTACCCAGTAATAACTCCCACCAGAGTCATCACCTGAAAATAAATGCTTGGCCATTATCACCAGAGCCACTGGAGTCTCCGTTTTGAACAAGAGGGAGAATCCCATGTCTGGCTATGGAGGCAGGCTCTTAAGTTCTTACCAACGGAGGGGGATGACTTGCCATCTGCCAGTGAGAACAAGACAAACAGAACAATGTTAGTCTTTCTGGAAGGGGAAAAAGGGATGTCAGAGACTTGCCCTCTCTGGACCAGCCAACCTAGTAGAATATATGCCTAGCCTGCAAATAGCATTGTGCAACTTCTCTAAATAACAGTGCCTCCCTTGATAATCCACTAGGCAGAGCATTCTGTGCACTGCCACCAGTGCAGTACTGTGCCGTAAAACCAGCCCATGTTTCATTACTTTCATATGTGGCTTGCTCCACGTTGTCCCATTCTGATGAACCGTGGGTAAGGTTGTGAACTGCTTTGCAAGAGGAGGTACCTTGTACTGTTTGCTTGCAGATTATTATCCAGGCATTAGATCCCATGTTCTGTATGGAGGTCCAGGTGATACACAAAGGGTATGGCTACACATACAAGTTCACACCTTAGCACACCTCACAGTATTAGCTCTGTGGTAATTGTCTGTGTGCCTCCCATTACCCGGGGGTAAATGGAAGGTAGCATGCCCCTCAATGAGGGTGGGGCAAGCTACCTTATATTTATTGCAGTTAAGAACATGCATACAGGCAGTGACTGCAAAAAGCTAATACACATTAAGTTGACCCTCAGTTTCCTCACTTGACCATGAATGTCATCACTCTCACAAATAGCCTCTTGCCCAGGCAAGTAAAGGCTGCTGGCTCTGGCCTTTATTAAACATGAAAGGCTTAAATTTTTAACAGATTGTGACAATACAAATACTTGTAAGGAAATGTGAGTAGAAAGTCCAGTCACATAAGCAGACTTGACAGATGAATCTTGTTATGGTGAACGAATATAATTGGAAGCATGAGTTTGAGCAAGGTTTGGATATTGCATTGGTACTACTGTGGCTCAAGCTGTCTATCTCCTAGAATGATCCATTGGGAGAATACATCTAGCCAAACTGAACATGAAAAGGGAGATTTAAAATAATAAATGCTTTTAAACTCTTTTTAAATTCTACTCACAGCAGAATACAATAAGATACAATGCTTTCATGCACAACTAACAATGCCACCAAGGCTTTCTTTGGCATCTGCAAAGTTGCACAGAGAGTTGCGTGATGCAGTTTCTCTTTTGGTTGCCAAGGACTACCTATGGTTAGTCTGGCTAACCGTATTAACTATAACTCCATGGTAGAGTCCAACTGTGTGTTAGCACCAAAAAGTATGTGTCCGATTGTGCATCAGCACCAAGCATCCTTTCACTTGATGACATCAGTTAGTGAAACTTTACACATCGTCTCCATATACTGTAGTTAGTCTGAATCGACAGATAGACAAACTGATGCAGAACTAGAAGTAGGACTGAGGCATCCTGGCTCCTTACCCACTGCTTTAACCATCTGATCAGACTCTCCATTCAGAGACACGAGGAGAACCCACAAATCCTTACTCAGTCACTCCTCCTTTCATCACTAGACCGCATCGCTCTCCCTGGACCTAGAATAGAGCCCAGGAATCCTTGTGCCCCTCCCCCTTCTCTAACCACAATGCTGGTTATTGTGCCGCAATCTTTAATATATTCTCTGTGAAGATCCAGCTGCCTCAGTCTTATCAATTCTGAAATCATCTTCAGTGACACATTATAATACAGCTATTCTCATTTGCATTCTTGCAGTTGGAGGCTGTGGGTTGAATACGAGACACAAAACCCACAACTTATTTCAAAGCCAGCTGAGACGTGAGTGAGAGAGCTGTAGCCGACCACCAAATCGGTTTTTGTGGTTCAGGCTTCTGTATCCCACCAGCAAGACACAACATAATGCAGTTAAACAAATAGGGAGGCAGCCTTGCTGTCTGCCTCCTTTAAGTCAGTGGATCAGTCACTCTTGTGTCAGCACAGCTGTGGTGAACCACAGACTGCTGTATCATTTCAAGGCGTATTTCCCTAGGAGGAGGTCAGTAATACCCCAGACTGAAACCAGGTATTTTAATAGGGGGATCCTAACCAGCTATTTATCAAATTTAGCACTCTACGCTACAGGCTTTTTTTAGCCTTTCACTGAGACCCTGATTCAGCAAAATTCTTAAGTACATCCTTATTTTTTACTTCAAATAAGACTCTTGCATGTGCTTAAGAGTTAAGCACAGCTTTGGTGCTTTGCCAGCTAGGGAAGGTCATGTTTAGGAGATTTAATGAATCTAAGCTTTGTACTGGACTTGTGCCTCATGGGATGCCGTGACATCTAGTCAAGTACTTCTTGGTTTACACCAAAACAGCAGTGTGAGAAGACTCTCTCTGTAAGTTCAACCATGTCAATGCCCTCCAACTGAAAGGAATACACATCTGGCAGTGAAATGACTCAATATTACATATGTAGCTTATTAAAACAGGATTTCATCACACCTAATCATTTTTAGAGGGTTTTAAAAATAAGAGAACCTACACAAAATCTCTTTTATTTCCATTTTAAGCCTTGGAGAATGATGGTGATTAGAGACTGATGCCTGGAATGGATCGTGGTACTCCAAGAACTGGCCTCTGTCTCGTCACATGCTGCTGGATGGACCCAAGGGCTACAGAAGAGCCACAGGAAAAAAGAAAAGAAAAAACATTTAAATGCCAACCCTAACTAGAATTAGGCCTGAACTTAGAGGGGGACTGAAGGGGACCCTTTCTGAGCAACAGTGCAAGGCCTGACCCTACAGTGGAATTGTAACATACTTTGCGGGGTTCGGATACAGTATGGGAAGCGGAAGCTCACAGGCTCCAGGTTTGAAACGAGTTGCCTTGCTAGAAAACTGCTTTATTCTGCAGTTTATTCGAGTCCTCACGAAACCTGCTGATCCACATGTGCATTAGCACATCTGCTGCTCCATATGTGCACCACCTAAAAACCCAAGTACCTCACAAGCCTCAGTGATTTTATCCTTCCAGCCTCTGTAGACACACAAGAAACTCATTGTACAGATAATGAGAAATGACACACAAAAAGAGCAACTGCAGTGGGAATACGTAAGACTTTGGCCCCATCTGCCTTGACCAAGAATGCCGGGAACTAAACCTAAAAGTCCCACTCCAGGTCTTTTCTTACATGAGCATTTTTACTGGTAGGTTTTGGGTGATGAAAGCTACCCTGATTCAGTACCGCTCTGAAGTTATCTAACAGGCAGAGCAGCCCCAATTCTCTTGGACCTCTGTTGGAATGGAAATGGAAATTACACCACTCCGCAGAACTTCTACACACTTTTAGCAAAGGCATCTATAGACCGTAGTGAATAGTGCTTCAGTGTTTCACTCCTGGAGTGAAAACAATTCCAACACACAAAGGCTTCGGGTATTCCACTCTGATTCTATTTGTCTTCAAATGGGACACACTTTTTACGTACCCTTTCTGCCAATTTGAAACCCAGAGACTATCATAGCATGAGGTAGTAGGCTCATTCAAGATGCAGTGTCCAATACTTGAGGACTGCATACACTCCAGGAGATGGAACAGAAAAATTAATCTGTTATAGATCCAAACCTAAAGCAAAAGCAACAGAAATGATTTTTTTTCATTGACACCATCAACCTATCTGTTTTCTTTCTCTTTTTTGAGTCTTGGGGAGATCAGAGACTGAGGGCATTTATACATGTGTAGGACGGGGAAGGGCACTTTAATTACAGTGGCTCTGAGAGCCACTCTAATTAAAGCCCTCAGAGCGTCTCGTGTATCAGTGTCCACACACTTAAAAATAGCGGCAGGGATGCTTTTATCTAAAGCTTGTCAAACAAGCTTTAATAAAGCACCCCACCACCATTTTTAAGCACAGAGATGCTGATACACAAGATGCTCCAGCAGACTCAACTAATTGAGTCTGTTCCGACATGCTTTAATTACAATGCATTGGAGCAGCCTCACTGCTCATTTATAGGCGCGCTGAGTTACTTTAAATTATCTGTGTCGATTTTGAAGTGTACAAGGCTGATAAGTTCTTGGCCTTTTGGGATTTCCCTTCCAAAACAAGCTCTTGGACTGGGAATACATGTCCACTGAAGAGTTCTTCAAAACTAACTTTAAATGGAAGAGCAGGAACAGAGGAGGCCAGATTTTAGCAAGCTCAGCACCTGAAAATAAGGGCTTGTCTACAAGCAGAATTGCACCCACATAACAGAATGATTCACATAAATATAAATCTATATTCCAAAAACCTCAGTATCACCAAGAAATCAAGGCAGTGTGAAGCCACCATCTTTTTAATTCAGGAAAGACTTGCACTGAACTCAGGGGAGCTTTGCTTGACTAAGGGGTTCAGCATCAGCTTGCTTATATTGCTGACTGTTATTTACTTTAATATGCTGCAAACAAAGTTCTGTGGGGGTAAGACAGGAGTAACATGGTACTCATCCACCTATCTCAAAAGAACATTAATTCACCTACTCTTAACATGCCTGGTGAGGCTTTACCATGCCTCTGTTGCCCACTAGGGCTCAGTGTTTGTTACTAAGCTGCAAGCCATGGCTGCCTAAATATTCACAACAATAGCAGAATAGAACTAGCATTCTCTATCTTTCACTGGAGGAAAAGAATAATCTTTAGTAATGTTATGGCTAAGGACAGAAATTACACATAAACTGGCATAAGTGATTGGAAACCAATTCCGATTTGTAACGCAACAGAAGTTCAGTGCATATAAATCACTTTCAAAATAGCTGAAACTGGTTTAAGATAAACCTGGATGGATGTAGTATCCGACTTAACTGATTTAAGTTAAATTGGTTTATTGAACTTCTGTCCCAGATCCCCTCCACGTTCAAGTTAACTCACAGTCCCCCAGCACCCCCTACAAACCCCATCTCAAAGGGTGGGCAAGCTAGCCTTGGCCCAAGCTGTCTGGGGGCAGGGAGCCGTGCTCTAGGCCCCCCTGGCTTCTGGCCTGGGCCACTGCAGGGATGTGGCTGCATTTCTGGAATCAAAAGTGAATGTCTGTTCATTGCTTATTGGCTCAATCTGTGCAGCTCAGCCTAATCTGGAAAGATTAAATTGATTCTACTTAGCCTATGAGGCATGAATCACAACTGATATGTCCAAGAGGTGGCAGCAATGCACACGTGTGGGCACACATACACACGTCACTTCATCCACAACCATCATCATATACACATGGGACTGGAAAGAAGCAGAGAAACTAAGTGACTTCCTCCCACAACTAAACGACAGAGCTGCGAATAGAACCCAGGAGTCCCAAATGCCACCCTCTCTCCACTTTCTAGACCACTTTGGATTGTACTGATTGTTACCAATTAATCATTTATGCGCATCAGTGCAGGTAGCTTCCCAACCTCCCTCCCGCCATTTGATCCTGTGCAACTTGTTTCTCGGTCTAGATGATGAAATGCTGAGTAAGGAAGAGTCCTGTATCATAAGAGCAAAAACACTAGCTGTACTCTGGAAACAGACCACATCTATGGAACTGGGGTTTTGTTACCAAGTGTCCCTAATCGAACTCTTAGTGACTTAATCATGCTTTTGGCAGCAGCATAAGAAACAAGTAATGAATCAAGTTATTGTATTCCCTGGATTTTGCTCTGCAATTGTAGTACATGACCCCAATGAATATGCTGATTCTACTTATTCAGCAGGGTTAATTTCTTCACTGCTCTGCTCTTCCCCATTCCAGCCAAAACTTCCTTTGTGAAGAGCAAATTCATTTTATGACTGCCTGCTGAATGGGACAATAGTTTAAAAAACTCACCTTCAGAAGAGATTTGTCAGCTCTTGGGCAAGTACAGAAAGCAGGAAGGGATAAGAGCAAGAGCACTATATGTCTGTTTGAAGCAGGGAGGCCTGGGCAAGAGAAATAGTACACAAGTTGCTTTACCAACACACATTTCCTACTTTTCTAATGCGCATAAGTAATGTTAATTGCAGCACACTGTAGTATAAAGAAGCATTTGTAACAGATTACTCTACATTTGCCATGTTCTAATTAGAGAAAAGGAACCCTAATTATTCCATTCTGTACCAGGCAGCAGAACAGTCATTAGAGAGCAAGCAATTTCCCCCACTTCAGCCCCCAGACCGCTCTCTTCTCCCACATTAATATAAAATCCTCACAGCATAAAGCTTCATGTATGGCTTTGGCTCATTAGCCACCAGCAGCATCAGCAAATGTCCCATTGTGAGACAGTACTAGGAAGCGGATTACAAATTTCCATTCAAGCATGTGCAGTTCTCAAGGCCTTGAAATGGTTGTACAGTTCTTTCCTACAGTGACAGGGGCCTTGAAAATGTGACTGGATGGACAGAGAGGCCAGCTCTAGAGCCTGCTCTAGCTTTAGTGCCAAGGAAGTGTGCATAGGCAATAAAGGAGCAAAAAGGGGGCTGTGAATGCCCTTCAGACCTGACAGAGATCAGGAAGGCAGGAATATGATCAAGGGCAAAACTGCTGCAGTTCTAACTTTAGTTGAGAGGCCTTTGGAAATTCCCAAGCAGCCAGGAATCCAGAAAATAGAAAAAAAATGGAAAATCACTTTTGCCCTCTCTGCACAGCCTCTCTAGAGCTGCCCCTCTCCAAGCAGCACATTAGAGGACTAAACCCACAGGTCTCCCTTGCTTCCACAGTGGGGTACTCTTCGCTCTCTGGTGTGGTATTGGACACATTGCCCCAGAGTGCAACATGGTGGGTGTCTACGCTTTTGAAATTCTGATCACCAGCATCTCACTGGGAGCTGATTATTTTGGGGAACCCCCTCCCCCCCCCTTCTTTCTGGCCCTCAGTAGGAACCGAGCTCTTCTGAGAAGTCCACCTCCAATTGAGATGGCTTAATTCTTTCTCTCACTGCTCTCACCACTTTTTACAGGGAAGGTAGGCATGATCCAATATTTGCAGATCTACAAACCAACACTTGTATGAGGAATAGAGCCCAGACCAAAGACAGGTGCAGAGGAAACATGAAGTGCAGAATAAGACCACCCAGAAGAGGCCAATTGATACATTCTCCTTTCTCTGTAAATAGCCTTTCCTTTGACTTTCTCTACCAGTCAGTCTTTACATCATTTAGCAGAGGGTCTTTGTCTGTTTCATCTCGATTAACTTAAGCCACTCTTAATGATAAATACATGCTGTGAACTCAGGTCCTGCTGATAAAAAGAGTACCATTGCCTGACTTTAGACACTGGACAAGCTGCAGTAGCTTAATTCACTCCATTTAGCTGTGTAGCACATTAAAGTTACAGCATTTGGGGATGTTTTGGTAGGCAATAGCTAAAACAGCCTTATATAAGGGAAACATCCTAGGTAGGGAGAGTTACTGCAACTTTATTCAACCAAGTACTGTCTGTCCCACTTTATAGAAGAGGAGCTGAGGCAAAGAAAATGAAAACTGACCCTGCAAACACTTATGTATACAATTACCTTGAAAGGGTATTACTCTTGCTTAAAATTAGCACGTAAGTATTTGTAGGATCAGGGCCTTAATGTCTTTAGGCCTCAGGATTCAGATGTGGAAAGAGGCAATGTGCCTCTTTTGTTTGCTTTGTTTATTTAGATTAACCCGTCTTAACAGAGATGGTCTCCTAGTATCTTTTTGTACTCTATCCAGTGGTCTATCCATGGTCTCGATATAAGTGGGATCCTCTAGGTGCTACTATAATGTTATTAACAGGAGCGTAATTAAAAGTATAATCCAGAGTAATCCACTAAAAAGGTCAAGTGGATGTTAAGTATATAAAAGAAATAAAACTTTTCTCTGCTACTCTCAGTTCCAATGAAGTCCATGGGATTTGCACAGATATAACAGGGTAATTTTTGACCCTGTGAGCTGAATTTGTCCCTGTTGCTTTTCAAATAGAGACAGCAGAATCACTGAGGGATTGAACTGATCCATTATATTTGCTTTATAAAACCAGTGCCCCCAGAAGTTCTTCACAGGAAAGTCAGATGCCAACTCCGCTAACACAAAACAAGCTAATAAAAGCTTACTGCTATCATTATCCTTTCTGGGAGTAATATTTAGTGGTTAACCATTGTCTTCAGTGACTGATTGTATTCCTCCTTCTTGAAAAGGCAGGGAGGAGGGGGGAACTCAATTGGATTTCATATCTTCCTCCATCCCTGAATTCCTCTCTTAAGCCATTGTGCTGTTTTGTTACCTTGTGTTAAAGAACTATTGTACTCCTACCCAGGAATTGCTGCAAGTCACAAAGAGTTAAGTATGTCAACCTCAAGGACCAAATTATGAAATTCTAAGTGCCTAGAGAAGTCTGCTTTCCCTTCAAGTCCTCATGTGAAAAGGATCCTGCAGCAAGTAAAATCGGGCTAGATGAGCAAGAAAGATTCACACTTCAGTAGTGTGCTCCAACAGGCTCTACAGAAGCCTTTTCTGGCTCTTGCTCTGTGGGAAAGAACAACTTGCTGGGCTCTTTCAGTCTCTCTTCTCTAATGCAGAGGGGAAAGAAGAATGTGTCACTTAAGTCTGAGGCAGAGATGACAGAAGCTGCTGTAGTAGGAAGCAAGCAACTGGGAGAATAGCTGCCTATTACACAGCGCTGGTGGTACCATCAGGACTGGGTTGGGAGATCAAGGCCGATGGACCTGGGGCAAGGGCATCAGAATCCGTCCTTAGATGACTAACATTGCTTGTTCCTCAGTGGCTGAGGTGCTGAGTTTGCATAAGGAGCAGGTTGTGGTTGGAAAGCACACACTGGATGCACACATTGGATGCAAACTGGATGCTTATCTTGCTGGGATCCTATGACCCCAGCTAACTTCCTGCCCTTTGGGCAGGGGGCTGGACTCGATGATCTTCCAAGGTCCCTTCCAGCCCTAATGTCTATGAAATCTATGAAAATTGAGCAACACTCTCATGTCGGTTCTCAGGCAAACCAATTGCAAGTGGAAAGGAGAGATCCTTTCCACTTGCAATTGGTTTGCCTGAGAACCGACATGAGTGTTGCTCAATTTCTTTAATTTTGCAGAAACTTAAAATAAATGAATCTCAGATGCAACTCATTAATGGGTTGGGTTTTTTCCCCCCACTGATAGTAACATGGTTAATATCTTGGTAATATTTTTGGAGAGCCTTTTGCCATCTCATTATATCATTACAATCTGCCCTGTTTCTGGATGAGTAATATTGTTTGGAATGCCTGCTTACTTATACATCTTTTACCAAACACCCATATATACATCCTTATTTTGAAGAATCAACCTGTTGCTGGGCTAGCTAGCCTTCAAACAAGGCACTTATGGTTAATTAATGTCAGATAATTCTGGGTTTATTCAAAAAGAAAAAATAAAGTTGTTTGCCTACCCAGCCAGGTGGTGGACGGAAACAGAAATCATCCTGCAAGTAGTACACAGGAATACTCACACTGTAATAACTAGGCATAATTGGAACAGCACTAGGCAGCAGTCACAGATATTCATACAACTCATTTCCAGTATTTGTGAGTTAACTACAAATAGGTGGGCATGGGGGGAAGCAGATCCTGTTAATTATGTGAGAAAGTACTACCAATCTGATTAAGAGCTAACTCCATATTCAGATGAAAAAGGAGAGAGTGTCAGACTAGGGCTGCCATGCTAAAAAGCATGTAACTAGGAACACTAACCTGGGTTTTCATGATGTGGCCTCTGCTCCTACCTGTGCTGTGTGACCTTGGGCAGGCAACTTCACCCCTTCACGCCAGCCTTTTTTCACACACTTGGTCTTGTGTACTTACATTTAAGTTCCTCCAGGCTAAGACTCCTCTCTCTCATTACTTTGTGCAACACCTAGCAAAACTGATCCCTGATCTCAGCTGCATCCTACAGGAGGTACAGGAGAAAAAACAAACAGCAGTAGCTCAGTGGACCCATGCTACAACTTTGTGTTGCTGAAAACAATCCCTTTTGGCAGACCACCACCATCTTTCCTTATAAGGGCTAGAAAAAATCAATAACACAGAAGTACAGAAGCAGCAGGAAAAAGGAAAGCATGTAAATATTACTATGTAGAGCCATGTGGGTTCCCATTCATTCTTAAGAGTAACTGCTTGAAGCAGATAAGGCTTACCTCTCCTCTTATGTCCAACCAGCTGGAAAGAGGAAAAAGCTTGCAGCAATCAGCTTCAAAATGACCACCATAAACAAGGCTTTTCTTTTACTTCCTTGAATTTAGAGGGCTAGGTGCCAGAATGCGACATGCTGGGAAAAGCCTATATAAGGGGTCAGCTGCAAGAATATTAGTAATAAGTTGGCTGATAGTTTAGTAGGGCTGATGCTTTATTCCCTTTTAACTTATCCCATCACTTACACCATTACAAAGCAACTCTAAAAAGCTAACATCATAATGCAGTAACCTTCCCTATCCACTCCATACTCAGCTGGAGTGAGCTCAGTTGAATACAGAATCAGGTCTAGCTGCTGCAGTTAGTGGGAGGAGCAAAAATGCTTTGATAGCAAGAGCTTATGGGTGTCGGACACCCTAAGATCTTTTTATCACAAGTCCATCTTTTCAGTGTTTGGGGAAAAAAATGTCTGGATGTTGTTGTGGTCCATGTTACCCCAGTACAATCAAGATTAGATTATTGACAATACCCACTACCTGAACTCAAAATAGGGTTCAGTGGTTGAGGTTTTCAAAGCCTTTTTAGGACATATAGACGCATCATTATTAAAATGGCTTATAACTGCTAAACTGTCTAAAGGAGTTGGTACAAGTTTCCAGATCTTCCCAGTGGAGGATGTGCCCTAGCCTCTCTGCCAAACTTTTCTGGATGCTTTTGAAAGGAATGAATTTTGAAGACACCTGTCTTTAACTTCCAGTTCAGACCAGGGCTAGTAGTGCTGGCACATGCAATGGAGAATGCATCCCTTTGTCATGACCAATTGGTGGTAGACATTCTGTGAACTTGGAGGGTGTCCACCAGGGCACAAGGGTCCGTCTGTGCAGATGTAGGATCAGGATTCAGTTTTACAGGCCTGAAAGGGTTTGTTTTGGGTCTGGAGAAGGATCCAAGCATCTGTAGCTAATTTCTGAATTGTTCCATTGTTAACATCTGCTGATTCATCCTTTATCTACCACTTGCCCTTTCGTATAAGCCTCAGTAATCCTAAAGGCTGATTTTCAGAGGTACTGAACACTTACAATCCCAGGTACTCAGCATGATCTGGCCATTACTTGATTTCAAGCAATTGAAATGTGAGGAGAATGTGGTTCTGTGCAGAGGGAATGAAGGAGAGGAAACCACTAAGTACTTGGTTCTGCGTTATCACCAAAAATGGCTATCAAATTATTTACTTTGTTTTAACAAAAGGAACACTCACAGCAAGCACAGACAAGGAAGCTCATCCAAAAGAACCTGGTTTGGATCCCCTTTGGGTACAGTAATGAGGTCTAGCTTTCTATCCCTTTGTTGATGGTGAACTTGAATTTTTGCTGCTCCACAATACTGGACTCCAAATGGCACAGATGGTAGCTTTGGCTTACTGGATGAAAAAGGATCTGGGGGAAGTTTGCAACTCTTGAACAGTTATTTAGGGCCTCTTGCTATTGACTTCCATGGGCTTTGCATAAGGAATAGGGAGATGAGAGAATGGACCCAGGAAAGTTCAGATTCATACACAAGAGGTATTAATCCTGCAAGCTGCTCCACCAGTTTGGTCCCCTGCACCAGTACAGAACTTGCATAAGGTCAGGGATGTTCTGAGCTGTCACAGGTGTCTGCTGCCAAATGTCATTAAATGTATTCAACCCTGATCCTGATCCTGCAGACAGTGCAGGATAGTGATACCATATGAACCTATTATATGAACCACCAAGATTTCAGACACTTCAGGCATGACACAGCGTAGTTGCATTTGGAGTACAAAAGCTACTTCAAACAGACTTATTTCTAGTCATGGGGTCTATGCAGACTTCCTCCAGGTTCAGTGCATATGATTCATCTTGGGTCAATACATCTGGGTTCCGTGACAATTCACAGCTGGAAGGCACTCAAGTTATAGACAGACATATGTTTAAACTGATTTAAAAAGTGATCACTCACTCAGGAAGTGTCAGCTGTTAGGATGCAACAGTTACATCAGCATACTCTTGTAGATGCACAGGTTAGCATGACCGCTTTAAACTTTAACCCTGAATGCAACTGTCATGGTTTTGCTATATTTGTACTACTACAAAAGCAAGTGACATTGGAACAGTTTACAATTTGCATCCCTCAGAATTGACAGGACTGTTACATCTGTCTGTGCCCTGAAAAAAACACCTGAAGCTGTTTTCTGAGACTCAGGTGACAGCATTGCAAAGCCAAAGTCCTAGCATAATCTACAAAAAACAGACAAGGCAGGGCTGTGGGTTCTTCCAGTGCATTTAAAGGAGACATGGGCAACATGAAAAAACAGTAGCTAGTGTCCTGGGAGAGTCTTAAACTGGAGTCAAGAGTTCTCATGGTTTTACAAACAAATCTCCTTAACCATAGTTCATTCTGTGACACAGTGAGGTTCCCTCCTTCCCGCTTCTCTGACATATTGAGAGAAAAAGTGAAAAGGTTATGCATTTATCTTATTTCTTAGTCTCCTGGGACTTGTCTTCACAGCCCCCACCTCCCTTCCCCCATTTCCTCAACGCGGGGAGAGGGAGAGAAAGAATTCTCCATGGAGAATTCAATTCAGCAGAATTACACTGCATTTACGTCCGTTTTGAGGCTCTCTCCCACGCATTGATTGCACTGCCTGTGGCTTCCAGCACAGTATCTGCACAGCCCTAGCTCTGTGTCAGCTTTGATAAGAACCCCTGTGTAATCAGTGCAGCACCAGCTATCCGGCTACAGTACTGTATGATTTCCTCCTGTGGCTTCTTCGTTCCTGTTTATAATTAAAGTAGGACTCCTTGCCATGCCAAGGGCTATATAAAAATAAGTTAATAAGTAATAAAGTGATGGCATGCATCCAAGAGCTTGCTGCTGCTGCCGCTCTTATTCTTGTAACACAGTTAATATACAGTGGCTGGTTAATAACGTTAAGGCCTGAATATTCAATTAGTCAGTTTGATTTTTGCAGCTACAGGAAGATACAAGCTGCGCAGAGGAAAAAGGGCTCGCATAGGTTAGGATTATCATAATATTCAGTCTCCTAAGGGCTGGATCCTTTGCTAGGTATTCTTCACCACACCTTACCTTAGCTCCTTTCCAGCCGGCCCAAACTCTCAGCACTGAAAGTCAAATTTTACAGGTGGTCGGAAACTAAAATTCAAAGACCAAGTCTGCATTATGAGTTACTTGTATTAATTAGTATGAATTAAATACAAAAAATAAGCTCAACCAAGACCATGGCTCCATCCTATAAGTAATCACATATTCATGGCGTGCCCACACGAACTTGCCATTTAAACAGCTAAGACAGACCATGGGTAGGTTGCCCAGAGGCATTGGTCAGAGTCACACTCAAAGTTCCCAACGGACAAGGAAAGAAGTGAGTCAGTCTGCTCAACATCTTAGATTCCTGGCTGTTCATACAAGAATGGGGAATGAAAGGGAGGAGTGAAGGTCTCAGAAAGTTGTTGAAACATTGACTGCATTAGGATAAGAGATTGGGAGTTGAAATGGTAATTTGTATATATAATTTGTATGATATAGAGTATAGCTTATTTAGGAAGGACAGGCACAGGTGGAGGATGAGATGTTCCCTTGCATCAAGGACATAATATTCCACAGGTAAACTCATGCAAGGTCCAGAATGCTACAGAAGAGAAAAAGGAAAAAAGTAAAAGAGAACAAGTGTGATATAATGATGGTGTCCAGACCACTAGGGCCAGGTGATAATTTATCAAAACAAGAAGTGTGCACCCTAAAGAAATCATCCAAAGGACAGGACTTGTTGGTAATGGGGGACTTAGACTGTCAAGGGACACTGCCATTTACACCACAGAAAGTTAAAAAAATATTGCCATGAATGCCCTCTGTATAGGTGATCCCAGCTTTGGGCACAGGGATGGAATAGATGACTTCTCTAATTTTCCTCCAGCCCTGACATGCACACATTTTTCATGTGATCTTCCATAGCACTCTATGGATTAGATCAGACAGCCCCCAGACTTTAAAATGGACCAAATCAAATCCATAAAATTCAAACTGTACATCCAAAGGTGGAATGCCTCAGGTCTTTTTCTAGTTCCCAAAGGAATGTGGGATGGGATGAAACCACTTGGGTCATCGAAAGTCCAGATCTCTTCTAACCTTCACACCCCAGTCCCATATATAGAACTGTATGTGTGTTCATAAGGAGCATGATTTTGTATTATTACTTATTTCTTGTTCTTGGATAATATCTAATAGCATCAAATGAATTCAGTGCTTCAACGTGCTAAGCACCGCAAAGATAGGAAGACAGTCTCTTTCAGAAGATACTACACACTAAAAAGACAAAAATTACTATCACCATTTTACCAAAAGGTTTAATGGGAAGTGATCTAAGGCACAGAGAAATTAAGTGACTGGTCTTGTGGTTCCTAGTTGTTCCACAGATTTCCTGTCTAAATCCTGGGCCAGTTCTTTAACTGAAAGATCATTTGATTTGATTCTGTTGAACATTTTCATTGTTTGCAAATGCATCCACGCAGGAACAGACACAGAAGCATCTTTAACCAAAGCACAGATTTTGAAGTTTTTGAATATTGAATATTCACTAAGTTGTTTGCTCTTCTCCAGTGTTTCTAGTTCATTGATTTCAATAGCATGAGTTGGCTCAAGGAATTCC